CCCCCCCCCCCTCTATTCCCCTTGCTAGTTTGCGTGCGAGATTCACCCCCCCTCCCCCACCCCCGCCCTCCTTTTCAAAGGGCCGATTGTACTTTATTGGTCATTCCATACTTTTTCTTTACAAAACATTCCCCTCTGTGTTAAAATTATTGAGTTGGGGACCGACACAGGGTACTGTCACATTACCTAAACTATAATGTGTTTGTTTGTTTGTTTGTTTGTTTGTTTGTTTGTTTTCGGAACAGTTTTCCGGCAAACGCAACGCTGATCATTTATCTTTAAAATGCCCAGGAATCAAGAAGGAACCAAAGAGGTTTGGTAGCAAGTGAGTAAATTGTAAAGAACTGAGCAATTTATAAAGAAACACATCCCAAAGCTGGACATATATCTTTAAAATGTCCTGAGGTCAAGTATCAACAACAGAGGTTTTGTAGCAAGTGCTTAATTATACAGAATAAGGCAATAAATGAACACATCCCAACACAGAACATTTATCTTAAAAATGCCCGCGAGTCAAGAAGCAACCACAGAGGTTTGATAGCCAGTGAGTAAATTGTAAAGAATAGAGAAATTTATAAAGAAACACACCCCAAAGCTGGATATTTTTTTAATGCCCTGAAGTCAACTTGCAACAACAGAGGTCTTGTTACAAGTGAATCATTATAAAGAATAGAGCTATAAATGAACTCGTCCCAACACTAGACATTTATCCTTAAAAGGCCCTAGAGTCAACAATTAGTAACCACAGAAGTTTGGTTGCAAGAGGGTAATTATAAAGAATAAGGCAATGAATGAACACATCCGCTCACGACCCTCCTCATCATCTATCAGTGAAGGGCATTAGAAGATCGTAGATACAGTAATAACACCCAATAACATTATTCATAATACAACTCTGCCGGCAGTCCGCGTGTAAAGAGTATTATTTATAGGCCTATTAATAGAAACTTCGATCCACCTCACTGACATGCAAGCTCTGCGACAGAATCTGCGCTTCAAACACAGGAAGAGTTAGCCATGAAAGAAGCTGCATGAATAAAAACTGTGAACCATCTTAATAAGCTTATATTATATGACCGTCTGCAAAGACGAAGAGACCCACATTAATAGAAACGTTGACCTCCAGCTGGGTCAGTTCTGTCTTGTTCTTTTTTGTTTTTGTTTTTGGTATTTTTGTTCTCTTGGTGGTTGGTATTGGTACCACAAGGTGTCGAGGGCTGATGCATCTGTGCGAGGTAGATCAGGTCGTGGTTTTGTAGTTGTTGTTTTTTGTTTTTCTTCAATGTAGATGTTTTCATGCCCCCATTGACATAATTTAGATCATTAAAATTTAGAAGGAGAGATACCGACCCTGTCTGTCGGGGAGAATCCGGGCTGAGAAGGATACATCATCCCAGCAGAAAGACCGAGATACTCGATAGAATGCTTCTCGCTACTCTGGAATCGAACTCCCGCGTGCGGCAAACAAGCGCCTAACTGCTACACCTCAAACGCCGGAGTGAGCTAAGTGTATTCCCTTTTCAATCGCCATGTTCTCCCTGCTGATTCACCTTTCGTCGCCTGAGTACAACAACCCTGTAACTCACCCTTGTTTAAAAACTCTTTTTTTCCTCCCCCCCCCCCACTAACTGTAACGTTGTGGAATTTGTGTAAAGTTTTTTTTAGACATGTAGCTCTATAAACATCGCAAGTGCAACGTTCAGACTTTAATTTTTAACTAACACCGTTAGAAGAATTGACAAATTTTATTTCTTCTCCTGTAAAAATTTTGTTTTTGTGGGATACAGGGTTGTTGTACTTTGGGAGACGTTTTGCTCTGGGGGCTCTCGTAGTCTAGAGGTAAAGGAGTTCGCCTCTCATTCAATAGGTCCCGGGTTCGAATCCGAACAGCGATGGAACATTTTCTGTTCTAATATTTACTCCTTTTACATCCTTTCCTCCTTTCTAACAATGTTCTGTCATCTACTTTCGTCTCCATTTTCTGCCTCCACCCCTTCACCTCCTTCGCCCCCGCCTCTGGGCTCCTGACTCTTTCTGCAGCCTTTCTTCTGCTACTCCCTGACTCTTTCTTACTGCTGTCTTTCAGCCACACCCCTGATCTTATGGAAAGTAAGATCTACACCTAGCCTTCTCGGATAAGGGAGAAAAATCTCGGAGGTCCCGTGACCAAGTTGCGCACATTAAAGATCCCTTGGACTTCCAACATCGATAAGAGTAGGCTTCGGCCGCCACCTGGATAAAAATTCAAAAGATCCTACCAACTGAAAATGTTTAATGTGTCCCGCGCGTCATATGGCCTTATGCAGTTGCCAATGCCGTAAAACACTTATAACAACAACAACAAAATTGTTCTTGTCTTGACACCAGGTCAAGCTCAGCAATAGCACAGCTCTATGGAACCAAAGCAACGCTTGAACACCATCACTTCAACCATGCCATCATGATCCTAAACAGTGGGGTGAGTATCTATCTATCTATCTATATATCTCTCTATCTATCTATCTATCTATCTATCGATCTATCTATCGATCTATCTATCGATCTATCTTTTGATCTATCTATCGATCGATCTGTCTATTTATCTATCTATCTATCTATCTATCTATCTATCTATCTATCTATCTATCTATCTAT